TTTGATGCACTAGGCTCAGAATGCTCAAACAGACTCTAAACAGTGCTAAAAGTTAGCAGAAACGAGTCTGACTTATATTGAAGTGAATGGTTTGTACAAGATAGAAATTTCGGGTTGTCACATTATAGGACTCAATTGTCTCTCTACTCAGCAACCCAGCAGCAACATTAATTGATTTTTTGTGTTGGTCAACTGCTGTGAATGGAACAAATACCATTTTATACCTATATAAAGAAAATATGTTTAGTAGAATCATATTTGATTAATAGTATGTTTAAATTTAACTGTATAATTTTTTTATTTTAATCATAAATGTATAAATTATGTAAAGTATATACATTAACTTACTTGTTTGTTCTAAAAATTGCATCAAAAAATATAGCTTCTCCAAACTCGGCATAAAAAGCCTTTTCTCTTCCATCTGCCCAAAACATAGCAGCGAACTGATCTCCATCACGTAGGAACTCAAATGAATAATTTGGGTAATGATCTCTACGATCATTCATTTTGTTTATCATTATTTGAGCATCCTTGTAACATAAGATTCTATTTACTCCTCTCCTCAAGTTTTTGTAGTTTGTTACCTTCGCCCCTACATATTCGTATCCTCCTTTCAAAACTTCTCGTATTTTGGGAGCCGTTGTTAAACCAATTTTAGCTTTTGATGCACGTACTACAAACTCTTTTTTAGAACATGCCATCTTTTTTGACTTTTTCATATAAGGTCTATCCTCAATACTTTCCAGTGGGTGGTTGTGCAATTCAAAGAATTGCTTAACTTTGTAATCTGTTGTTCCATAAACATTTTCAAATATAATCTTTGTTGTACACGCAGTAGTTATCTTGTTCGAATTTGGTTTCCTCTTGACAAAACTTGTAGCCAACGTATCACCAGGTTTTGGTTTATCCTTGGCACCCCTATTGCATATAACATATTTGTTTTTTATTATTTGGCTATTGTATTTTGATTGGCTACTCAGTGTTGTATGAAAACCTGCCATTTCTGCATATTCAATACATTTTTACTGCTAAATTTAGTAATTTGAAAATGCTGTTTACAACTGGTACAAATTCTGGAGGGACATCTGGTTTATATTCTGATTCTTCAACTATGTTACTGCAATACGATTAATTTGTTGAATTGGAACTTTCACCTGATAAAAGAAGGTAATGGAAATATGTAATTATATAATTTTATGTTGTAATAATTATATGTGATTAATGATATGTATTTATATAGTGTAATATATTATTAATTATATTTTAGGATGAAAAATCATATATGATTATAGAATTTAATATATAATTAGTTATATATTTCAATGCACAATCATGCATGATAAATATGATTATACATTGTAATATATAAGTAATCATATGTTATATTTGTTTAATCATTTATGATTAATCATATGCATTTATACTTTTTAAAATAATAGTAATTATATATTGGGATGTATAATCATATATGATTATAGATCTTAATATATTATTAATTATATATTTCAATGTAGAATCACATATGATTAATCATATGTGTTTGTACAATCTCTTATATGATTAATCATATATTATACTATGTAATCATAAATGATTATACGTCTTAATTTATATGTAATCATACTTGATACTGTTTAATCATGTATGATTAATCGTATGTATTTATAGTTTGTAATATATGATTAATCATATTTTATGACGTATAATCATATATGATTATTCATACTAATATATGATTACTATATATTTCAATTTGAAAACACATATGATAAGTTATAATTGTTTGTACAATGTCATATATGATTAATCACATATTATACTGTATAATCATATATAGTTATACTATTTAATATTTAATTAATCATATATTTAGATCTATGAACACATATGATAAATCATATGTTTTTTTAAACTGTTATATATGATTAATCAAATATTATTATGTATAATCGTATATGATTATACATCCTAATATATAATTAATCATAATTTATAATGTATAATAAGTTACAACATATACTCGTTTATCATTATGCATTGTAATATATAATTAATACAAGATCAGTTATGTTTTTTGTTTATAACTGAATAAAAAAATCAGAATCAACTTTAAAAATTGTAATGTAATATGTAGTATTAAAACGAATTATTTGTACCTTCAATACAAATCGTATTGTGAAGTTCTTCGTGTTGATTTTCAGAAGTCAACGCAATTGAATCGATTTGTTCGTCATTACGAGATTAATTGATTTCAGCTACAATAGTCTCAGTTGCGATCGACTTGTCAATTTCTTTTGAATTCGGTATCATTTTGCTTCAATTTTCAACTGCTCTATCGCTCTCTTGAATTGCGTTGAAGAATGCGATGTGCTTGTTTATTCGATTTGAGGATTATGTCTCGTATTTATGAAAATATGAATTTATGCTCTGTTTCGATCGTTTTTTTCGATTTGAAGATTGCGATTAATTTGATAACAGATTCAGTAAAAATATGAACTTTAAGATGATATTGAATGATTTTTGAAGCTTGAATGATATGATTACGTGATTGATACTGAGAATCGATGATTTAGCGATAAGATAATTTTTAGAGAAGGAATGTGTGCGCTTTCTAAACATTAAGTTGAGATTTACTGTTGTACCCCTGCATCATTTAACAGTTGACGGAAGTTGATGTTAAGTTCCATTGGCTGATGTTTAATTTCACTATATATATATATATATATATATATATATATATATATATATATATATATATCTATATATATATATATATTTGGCGAGTCTAGAACGTAAAACCATATGGTTCACTATTTAAATGAAACTGATAGAAAAGAAAAATAGCAAAAAAAAAAAAAAATACTACTTGCGGGTTCGGATCGGGTCAAATCGTATAAGCAAAAAAAAAATTAAAGTTCTTACAACTGTACCCTCTTATATCTTGATATAGTTTCACAATTGTATCATTATTAGTACTTTCTAAGACATTCTTGATTGAATTTCTGAAGCAAACAACAATTAACAAATAACAATCAAATAATCAAGTAACATTGGAAATTTGAAACAATATAAAAAAGCCTATTGTAAAATAAGGGAAAAGAACAATCAAAAAAGTAGAAAAAAAATTCACTTGTAAAGTTATTCAATATTAACAATAGTAACAATTAACAATCTTAAAAATTATATCAATGAAGCAGTAGTTAAAAAAAAAGACAAAAGAACCCTACAATGGATGCAATTAATGAATTAAACATATAGTGAAGGAATTTGTGATTTGTTGATCACCGATTAATGATCGTCGACAGGTCGACTTTGATGCCAGTGAAATTAGAAATAAAATTTTTATATATTTTATTTAATTTTCACAAAATTAACAAAATTGAATAATTTACCGGTGATGTGCAATACGATCGGCGATTGTGAATAAATGATAGAACTTCATGTGCTGGTTAACAACATTACTTTTTTGGGATTCATGATTTACTTTTTTTTAGTTTAATGTGTATTGGGTTATACATATTGGATTTTATCCTAAAAATATTGGGCTATTAAAATATAAAATATGAGTTTTAAAAATCAAATTTATATACTTCTTTTTGCCAACAAACTAAGATGGTTCATTTTCATTTTTTAATGTATGTCACAATATTTTGATTATATATAACTTATTATAAAAAATAAAAAGAAAGTGGGTCCCTCACCCCCCGTTAATGCATATAAACTTGCCAATATATATATATATATATATTAGTTGTGAGACCCATGTATTACATGGGTAATTTTTTTTTAAAAAAATGTTAAATATAAATGTCAACTTATTTGAAATAAAGAAAAGAAACTAATGAGTTTTAATTTTGAGAATTTTGAAATTAAAAGGTAAATTTATTAGTGAAATTAATATTCATTTATTAGTATATTTATTGTAATTATTACATTAAAATATTATATTGAATTTAATAAAATAGAAAAACTCATAAAATGACATGTAGAAAAAAAATTAATTCAAAATAACCATAAAATGACATTTGACAAATTGAATGAGAGTGTGACAAGTGGCAAAAAAAACCTTCATTTATTAGAGATGATAGGTTATGGCGGGTACCCAACGGATAACGGTTTAAAAAAATGAAAATCAGAACCGTAACCTCTTAAGGCGGTTCCAATTTTAGAACCAATAGTTCCGAAAGTAGATACCCAGTTTCGATGCTCATCCCTAGTTAAAAAAATTCATAAGAGTCCTAAGAAAAAAAACTAGAGTTAAAATCAAATATAAAGTGCACATAAGTTCCAAAATTTTCATGTGTTCCATTCCGGGATGCCCACTGGTGATTCAGGTATAACAATAGCCGCACCAAAGAATTTGACCCGCCCCACCCGAATACAAGTGAATACAAGTATGGGTGATTTTTTATTATTTAAACTTTGATATTTTTTTGCTATTAGTATTATAAAAATCTAATTATATAGGAGTCACATAGTTACCTAAAATTCTGATACATCAATAATTTCACAGATTTGACCTATCTCCATGACAACAAGCTATCTAGGATAGGATGGTAAAAGAATCTATTCATTGTACCGCCAAATCTATCTATATACATTAATCGTATTATTAGCCACATCAGGATCCATTTGCTAATGGTTTAAGTCACAATCTCATTGCTTCATCAATTGGGAATTGCCCATATTCTACAAAACTTTTACCCATTGACATGATGTTGATTTTATTGGAACTTGGAAGGTATGCAGAATAATAAAAAGGCTTGCTTTAATTGCATTTTCTATAGCACATTTTATGCATGCAATGATACACATTATATGATTGACTTTGTACTGTATTTGTATTTGATGTACACCGGACACAAAATGATATGAATACGAGAAATAGTATAATTTTTTGTCACATCAAAAAAGTGGAACAAAATATCTGACCTGGACAAAAGATGTGAATAACCCTAAAAACTTGGTTATTAATACTACCCAGTCCAGTCTAATCTAATCATCCGATCCGGTGTAACAAAAACAGTCTTATTGAACCCATTGAGATATCATATCCTCATCATCTTTAGCAATATACATCAAATCATCATTACATCCTGTGGTCTAATTCACAAATTGTACCAAAACTGATACAAAAACAGAACATACTACTAGCTCTCATCTAGTGTGCCATACCTGTTGTAAAATGGTTCAAGATCTTCATAGACACTTAAACAAAAAACCCTAAGTAAATGGGCATGAGAGCAACAGCAGGTGCCAGATGGTTGCCATTGTTGCTCCGCTCTGACTTTGGTGGCTTGGGGATCGGTTGTTTGGAGGCGGAAGTTGGTGGTGGTGGTGGTGGAGGAGACCGGAGAGTGGGTGATGAAGGGGGTGAGCGACGGGCAGTAGAACCTGCAATAATGTCGTGCTTTATGTTAACAAAATTGAAATTGATGACAACAAGATTCATGAAAGAATGGGAAGAAGATTTGGGAGATAAAATTGTCAATAGAAACCTGAACGGGGTTTTCTTGTGATGCTGATCAAAGGAGGTAGAGTTGTTGAACCTGAATCAAGAGAACACAAAATTATGGAACTGAAATTCACAAACACGAAATTGAAACAAAATGAACACCCAAATTGCAAGAAATAAACTATTTTGTTGTATTTGATCTTGAAAACACGGAATCAGTATCTAAATTTCACGTAACGTTTCAAATAGTTGATTCAAAGGATATCATGATCATTTTCGTTTGTTTCTTTCAGTCATCAAACTACAACATTGATACATGGATATGAATTTGTTCCTAACTCAAATTTTCAGATGAAAAATCCCGCCCTTGCCCCAATCGATAACTTTCAAAAACCCTAGGTTCGTAATTCCTCAATTGGCTACAGTTTATACTTCGTAAATGCTGATAGAAATTGATTTTGTTATTTCACTGTGACTCGTTGAAACTTTCAGAAAAGAAAAAAGGCACAAATAAAACGATGAAGATGAAAGAACAAAAACAGAGTCCGATATACCTGAACAGATCGATTGGAGAGATGTACTAGCATTATTCGCGTGGGAAGCTTGGGTATCGTTGTTGAGTAGACATAGATCTGATAAGGAAAGCAGTTTGGAGGCGTTAAGAGGGAAACCGAGGAGCGTGTTCTGACGAACAAGATAACAGAGACATTCGGCTTTGCCGGAAGCAAAGGCTCCGTTGAAGATGTCGCAACATTGGGATGAAGGTTCGTCGGAGAGATCATTTGGCGGGGCGGATATGAAGGGAAGGCAAGGCGAGAAGGAGATGACGGAGTCGGCACAGCCTCCAGGCGGCGGCGAAGATGGAGGCGGCGTTACGTCGCTGGTGGTTATAAGAACAAGCGTCGAAGCGAGTAAGACGGTGACGATTGCGGAAACATAGTGGACTAGGCTTTCAGTGTTCATGGCTGACGACGGTTATTTCTGTTAGAATCGGATGACGTGATAATGGAGTGCCAGCGGATTCATCATTTTATTACCCGAGTTTTATTTATTTAAAGCACTTGGGGCTTGGGGCTTGGGGCTTGGGGCGTGACTCTTTGTTTTGCTACAAATTTCTCACTAGTTTAAATTGTTTTCTAAATGGCCCCTCATCTTTCCCATAGTTCTACTCTAGCATCGATCTTTTATAAGTACACAACGGTCCCTCGTGTTTTGCCATAATTTCTACATTGGCTTTTATCTTTCAAATATGTTAATTTCTTCCCAATTGTTTTGCCTCTCTTGTAGTATATACACATGATGACATACAAACTCGTAAGCTTGGTAGAAATGTACGGTTTTACCTTTTTGTGGATTTTAGGTTTGCTAATACCGGATATTTGCAACTTTTTTTGTTTGTTTTTGTTTTTTTTCTGATTTTATCCTTTTGTGTATTTCTGGTTCATTAAAGCCCTTATATTTTGTAGAAAACTTCAAGTTTCCCTTTTTTATGGTTCATAAAAACCCTTAATTTGGTTTTCTTGTTCATTAAAGCCTTTAAGTAAATGTTCAATTTTACCGTGTAGATATTCAAAAATTGTAAAATCGAAAAAAAAAGTTCTAAGTATCCGATATTAGTGAACCTAAAATCCACAAATGATAAATTTATACTCCCTCCGTCCCAATATTATTGTCCACAGACAAAAAACACACATATTACGAAAAGCATTAATTACCATTAACTTTATTTAATAAAATGACAGTTTTGTCCTTACTTTGCATTTAATGTTTCATTAAATGTTTAGTTTGTTAACTAATAATGAGGGGGTATTTTGGTAAAAATGTTCTTTATTTTTAGAAGTAGACTATTATTTTGGGACAACCCAAAAAGAAAAGATGAACTATACTTTTGAGACGGAGGAAGTATTTTTGTCAAACTAAAAGGCTTTTATGTCACTGTTACAAAAGTTGGAGCAATATAAAACCAAACACATAATCTATGTAAAAAAAATTATTTTATTATTTTTTTAATATTTTTACCTGTGAATAGTTTAGTTAAACCTTTGATATTTCTCACTTATATGTAAGGTGATGTTTGTTTGTTTTTTTTTAATAAATAAATTCTTTTTAAGAATTTATGTTTGTAAGTGGGAAGACATTTATGTCTGCAGGTGGGAAGACATTTATGTTTGTACGTTCTTGTAAAATGTTTGTATGTTAGAAGTTTGAAGACTATAAACGTCAAAATTTATGTGCGTCATCTTCTCTAAAAAAACACGGACCAAAGTCTACATACAACAAAACATTTCTTTCTTTCTTTCTAAGGGTTAATGACACCGTAACCTCTAGAACTTTTGGGTTTTGGTTTAAATGGTCAGCAAAGTTATTTTCTTTCTTTCTAAGGGTATAAGGTGACTTTGTCGGGTTTAAAATATCCCTTTTGAAGATTTTGAATGGGTAACTCGTTTACCCCTTGTAATCTGATACAAACCCATGAAGTGATACCCACGATCTGATCATACATTAGACTAATTCTCATGTTTTATTTTTCCATTATGCATGTTGCCACATTTCCCTTTTCTTAGGAATAGCATGTTAGGTTTTTCATTCCAGTAACCGTGCACGTTTACAATTCATAGTTACTACAATCTTTCCTTTAAATGCATTGTAAGTTGCATTGGATAATACAACAGAAAATTGTCTCAATTACTAGTGGTTTATCTATCCCTCTTATCTAGTTCTACAGGGGACTTGCCATCCATAATTGGCTGTATCAATTGGTACTTTCACCATCGTCTCAATGCCTCCGAAAATCGATTCCGGCTTCACCTCCGACAACCCTAATGCCGCCCTCAACGATCAATTGCAGGTTTTAATCCACCTCGCCACCGCCACCAACCACCTTTTAGACAACATCACCAATCATCCCATTGAACAATCCGACACTATGAACAACATTGTCAAAATCATCGCCGCCAACAACAACAACCAGGCACCGCCGCCACCACCGCCGCCACCGCCTCCACGCCATAACAACTAGCAACCCCGACCCCTAAAAATCTCTCTGCCTACCTTTGATGGACCGAACCCGTTAGATTGGCTTTTCCAAGCCAACAACTATTTTGATTACTACCAAATGCCCAACAACCAACGACTTCCTTTGGTTGTTTTTTGTTTCACTGTGGAGGCTCTTAGCTGGTACAAGCATCTCGCTAACAACCAGTTATTGACCACATAGCCAGAATTTTGTCGGTACTCGAACTTCGTTTCGGTCCGTCTTCCTACGAAAACCATCAAGCCAATCTTTTCAAACTGCAGTAAACATCAACTGTGGCATCCTATCAAGCCGCTTTCAAACAACTCACCAATTGTGTTAATGGTTTATCACCGGAAGCTCTTCGAATTTGCTTTATTTCTGGTCTCCAATCATACATCCAAAACGAGATCGCTATACACAACCCACCTACCCTTCACCAAACATATGGTCTTGCCAAACTCATTGACGACAAGCTCCGTGTTCCACTTCTTCCTGCGGATGGGAACTCTGAACCGCCACTAACGAATCCACATTTGTTGCCTACCCCCGCTTCCCTACCACTTCCGATCAAGAAACTGACCCTCACGGAAATGCAAAAACATTGGGCTAAAGGCCATTGTTATAGTTGTCCCGCCAAATATCAACCGGGCCACCAATGCAACCCAACAACATTCCTCCTCCTTCAATCAGAGACCAATCCACCTTGGCCTTCAATGACACAAAACGATTTCAGCCTTGAGGACAATGTCATTTTTCAGGGGAGGGGTATTGATACAAACCCATGAAGTGATACCCACGATCTGATCATACATTAGACTATGTAACACCTGTTTCGAGTTTGTAGGATGTTGGTGCATGAACTCGGCGAGTTGGGAGCCCAACTCGTCGAGTAGAGTCGTGATAACATGGAACGCGGGACGGACCGACTCGGCGAGTCGACGGGTCGACTCGGCGAGTCTGAGCTGTTTAAAGAAAACCCTAAATTTTGGGGTTTACCCCCTATATAAACATCATTAACAACCTCCATAGCCTCCCATTTGCACCCTAGAAGCTATTCACGGCCGCAAACCCTCTTATGAGGGAAGTGAGAGCTTTAGTGAGATAAATTGGTGAATCTTGGGAAGGATTTCAAGTTGAAGGAAGAAGGAGCAAGGGAGAAAATAAGATCCAACATCTACTTCGTTTTGGGCACTTTTCTGAGGTATTAATTCGTCATCTTAAGCCTTAAAGTCTTAGATCTCCATTTGGATGATTATGGTCATTATTGGGGGAAAATGAGACTAAGTTTGGATCTGGACCTATCACAAGGATATGGTTCCAGATCTAGAACTTCTTAGGTCCCAAATATCATAAAGTAGTCTCCTTGGTGCACCCTAATTCTTATTCATGCATTAGAGACTTGTAAGAAGCTTGTTGATGTGGTTTTGGCATTATGAGACTTTATATGAACTTAAAGTTGGCAACTTTACGTGGTATTATCACTAGGAGGATATGGATATGAAGTTTGGGACCTTAAATCCCTCTGGAAAGGACCAAATACGTGGGAACTCGTCGAGTCGCTCTTGTGACTCGGCGAGTCGGGAGGGTTCACGGCCAAGGGTTCACGGCCAAGGTCTCACGGCCAAGAGTGTACGGTTGGGAGTTTACGGCCGTAAACATCAAGGAGCTCGACGAGTCTCTCGGGTGACTCGGCGAGTTGACGAGATAAGCAAGGAACCCATCGAGTGGCTAATTGTACTCGACGAGTCAAGGTCAATATGGACTGTTTGTTGGATTAATGTCTAAGTCCATAACTATAATTGGTAAGACTTGACCCGACCCGGCATGGTCCATTTGGGTTGCATGGCATCATGCATTTGGATAGACTATAATGAGAGAAATAACACTTAAGGTTGGTTAATATATTATAAGTTATAATATATTAATAAGGTTATTTAATTAGTATTGATCAAGAATTAATTTGGAATTAATTAAGTGATCAAAAGGAGACTAATTAAATATATGGGTTGATTGTATAAATCATTCATTCTTATATATGTGGGCTTGTGATCCAAGATTCCTTATGTTGGACTAAGTCCATGGGGTGACCCATGGATACTCCATGGAGGTTAAAATCCACGGAGCATAAGGAATGGGTAAAGTTATGAGTTACATGGTGTAACCCTAATAGCCACCATATAAAAGAATCCCATGGCTCAAGAAATCGTGCACTAATGTGTGAATATGAGGGCTAGACGATTTCAAGGAGTGTTCCATTTCTCTCAAGTCATTCCATGTGCATTTGGTGTTGTGTGAACCATTTGAGGTGTCACACTTGGGGCACTAGGCACTCAAGCTTCATGGAGACAAGCTACATCAAACAAAGGTATGTATTCTATCCATTTGATTACCCAAGTATCAAGTATTGTATGCTAGATAGGGTAATACCTTGGAAAGTTCATAATTGCATGTATAATAGAGAAAACATAGATCCAAGGTATTTAGGGTTGCATGTACACTTAGGAGTGTTAGAATGCGCAAAACCCATCAGTGGTATCAGAGCCAAGGCTTGTTTTCTTGTTATACTTGCAAAATTAGCTGAAAAATCGAATTGTATTAGTTTAAAAGTTATGCTAATTACTTGAAAAAAAAATTTTGATATGAATTATCTTTGTTCATATGAGTTTATTAGATTAATAGAAAAGTTAATTGATTATGTGTTTTCAATCCATTTTAATCTAAGAGTTGATTCTAAAATGTGTTTTTGTAACTTGTCCTCAAGTTATATGAAAAGTCACATTTAAGTTTCATAAAACTCATAAAAAGTTGGCAATGTTTACAAAAATGAAGAGTCTTGTCCTCATTAAATGGTTTTATGACTCCATAACTTGTCCTCAAGTTATGGAGGTTCAAGAGTCACTTCATTAAATGATAAAATGTGTAACCTTAATTAGTTCCATAAGTTACAAAAATAAAGAAAAGTTACATTCTTTTATTAGTTTAAAGTCTTCCATAACTTGTC